GTGCTGAAAGAAAGGACCCGAAGTCATGACAGCTACAGTGTCTAGGCTCACATATGAACAAAATTCAGGTGCTTGTCACCCGCCCTGACAACAACCAGCTGCTTCTTTATCTCAAAGGCAATCTTCAGAAAAGATAAGTGGACCAAGGTATGATGAGGGAAGAAGGCCCGACAGTGTGGGATGCAGCAGAGTGGAAATAGAGCATGGAATGCCTCAGAGGGTGGGGGAGGGGCCCTGGGAAGTCCAGAGAATTCCATGGATGATGCGGGGAGATTCTTCAGAGCAGGCCTGCAGAGCCTGTGCCAGGTTTCCCAGAATCTCCCCAACCCCCAGAGGCACCCTACCCTCCACTTAATGACTATAATGAGAAAAGGAGGGATTATGTGAGGTCCTTAAGTGAGGCAATCCCATATGTGCCTCGCTTAACCACCACCACAGCTTATGAGCATAATTCTGGGCTCAGTTGTGGTTGTAAAGTCAAGGACATGTAATTAGAGAAGGGAAAAAATCTCAAGAGTACACAGATCCACAATATTGTTTGCTGATGTGTCATTTTTTTGTTTGTTTGTTTAATATGTATGGAAATCTCAGTGGTCATTTTAACTACTGGAAAAGAAGTAACCATATCATCCCCAAGGATCCTTTGATTTGGAAATGAAAGCATGCAAAAATATATTTTAGTTTGTCAAACTGATCACACTTCATCTTAACCACTGGAAAAGAAGAAAATGTACTATCTCCAAGGATCTTATAATAGGAAAAATGGAAATATTTAAAATATACTTTTGTTTTTAGACAATGAATTGGAAAGAATTCTAAGGATACTTTATTGGCATAAAATATCAGCTGTTGCATTTCTTCATATGTTAGTTCATTAATTTATTAGACTAGGGAAGGGGAAGCATTAAAATGGAAATTGACCGAAAATGACAATTGTTGTCCATTTGGATGCAATATGAGGTTGAATTTCCCCCCCAAAAAATAAATGCTGAAGACAGAAAAGGTGTATGAGATTTAAATCAAGAAAACTGAGTGTACAATTCAGCCAAATATACTGAGTATTTCTGTGTGGTTTGTAAGACCAAATTTAAAGTTCAACATGAATATATTAATATTGCATGGATGTTACAGTAAATTTATCAGAAGGAGACTGATTTGAAAAAGGCTTCATCTGATGATTTACTACTTCAGTTAAAAAGCAGACTTAGTAAAGAAGACCTATGGAAAACATGGTTCACCCATCAGCTATGGCAAAAGGCCAACTCCATCAGATTTCAGTTACTCCTCAACTGAGCCATCAGGATCAACTAGAAAAATAGGAAAGATGAGTATCTCAGACAACAGGGATAAGATTCTCCTCTGCCTGAGCTTTCTACTTGTATCTCAATGCAGAGTAGCATTGGTCCACAACCCTCCAATGCCAAAACTCCTAGAAATACATAATCATAGTCTCATTGTAGCAACTTAGTCAATCTTAAATTATTAGATTTGCAGGTAGCCAAAAAAAGCCCCTCATTGTATGACTACCTTAAGTATTATTCAGTGTTAATAGTGACATAAACCTTCCTAGTCTTTACAGCACAAAGCTGATCATCGATGTTATTCTCAGTGATGAAAAAACCTTATTTAAATAGATCTGGTGAGTCTTGTGCCAACTTTGAAGGCACTCTGTAATCAGTTTGCAATTATAACCAGTCTAATATCAACACATCTAGTTGGGAAGGATGCACATTATGTAATTCACCCAAAGAATATGGACAAACTAGCTAAGAAGTTTGCAGCTCACCACCTGTTCTCTGGCTCTTTTCCAATTATGGCTAATAAAAGCCTCCAGGCCAAAAGTGGTGACTTGGAACAAATCAATTATGTAGATTTATCCCAATCTCTTCATAATTCTGCTTTGGAACAGGCTTCATTTGCTCTGCCAGTTTACTGGATAGTGAGAGTACAAGTCTTAATTTCTAATTAGCCGTTGTTGCTATTTATCACCATCTCCTCTTCCAACACCTGGCCTGAGTTTAGGATGCACGCTTCTACACGGATTCTGATATAATCCAATCCTATTCACTTTTAAATGAATCCACCAAGAACTGTTTAGAGATGGAGATTTTAGTGCATTACTTTGCAGATGACAAATAGCTCTCCCTTTCTGTTTTTTACCACCATTCTTAGAAAGATTAAGAAACTCTTAAATAAATGCCTGGAATTGATTCTGAGCTGAATGGGAAAGAAGAAGTGAAGCTTAATCTTGGAAAAATACTGCTGCAGTGGATTGAGAAGAAGCTGATCTGGATAATAGCATACAACAGACTTGTACTCTTCCTTTGGCCAGGTGTACACCTTGGAAAAAATCCTGGATTCATTACTGATGGCTGAGCCAGATTTGGCAGCAATGACCAGAGAGTATTGTTTGCAAAATCTGATTTGCATGCCATCTGGAGAACTAGACCAAATGACCTAATTATCCATTGTTCTCTAAATCAGACTACCAAAATCGGTTATAGGATTGCCTCCTTAAGATATATGAAGACTAATGCTGATACAGTAAGCCACTCATCTTCATATGGTAGGGCTCCAAAACTGTGCACATAATTCCAATTTTATGTCACTTGTATAGTATAAGAGCCAATAAGCATATTTCAAAATGCTGTTCTTAACATTACCCAAGTTGTAATGATTGTTGAGGTTATCTAAAGTCCATCTTCTTAAATCTTCACATAAGCTAACTTTTAGATGGTTTTAGATGTCTGTGTGAGGGGTCCTTGGTGATCTCTGAGCTTGGTTGTTTTCTTGCAGACATTTCATTACTCAAACTAGGTAACATTGTCTAGCACTAATGATGTTATCTAGTTAGGGTAATGAAACGTCTGCAAGAAAACAACCAAGCTCAGGGAGCACCAAAGACCCCTTATTTCAACCCCGAACTACAAATATTATCCTTTATTGGATTTCTTTGTTTTTATTTAGATGCATGACTATGTTTTTCTGCTTATATGATCATCCAAGGGGGCTCACTCAATAACAAAACAAAATATAAAATCTAACATAAAATTCATAGAAATAAAATTAATATAGATATCATTAAAGTAAATTAACAAAATTAGACAAAACAGGGGTGTTTTCCTATGTTGTTAAATCCTGGAAAATACTTAACTCCAGTGGGAACATAGCATGAGTGCCACTCAGGAAAAGGTCAAGTAGTGAGGCAACTTGAAAGGGTCTCATTTAATTAACTCACTAGGCATGTTCACTATTTTATGTTAAGATTAGCAAGGTTAATTTGCTCAACTTTTTCAGGGGCAGAAGGTTTTGGAACTCCTTCTAAATAGGCGTGTACATTAATATAATCTGGGATACCACTGGCCAAATCATAAGCACCAAATCCAATGGAACAAAAATATTATTTTGTCTGATCTACCTCAACCTCCCCCCATGTATACATTAATCCACCATAAAGTTATCATGGTACAAGCTTCGCTTCCAAATGAACTATTATTTTAAAAAAAACAATTCATGATGATACATGCTTGTAGTGCTATGTGCAAAATGGAAATATTACCTTAGTAATACAAAATGTATCCAGACAAAAGCAACAAGATTTATGTAATATATGGAAGCTGATTAAGGAAGGTATCACCAAAAGAATAAAGTATTTTGAGGCATCTTTTCAGATGAGTTTTATAAAAGTCCAGAGGGGATTGAAAAACCAATTATTCCTTATATTCATAGAGAATGAACAATGTTTCAGGCAGCTGGTTTTAAATGTTACATAAAGACAGCACACTGATGGTTATCTAACACTGTTATATTTTTATTTCCAAGAAGGGTAGAGAACATACATGGAAACTATTTTGACAACAGTGCCAAATTATCTAAATAGCTTTGAATACCACGCACTTGCACTTTTAATTTATAGGAAAGCCGAGATAGAGCAGTAAATGTGTCAACCTTCTGTTATCTGGAGAAAGTTTTAAAGATCTACTAACTTGAAGATTGAAAGAACAGACAAACCATGCTGCTTCATGTCTTGAGCACAAAGCCCTCTGATCTAAGATTTGTAGATGACAGAAGCACAGACCTGCCTAATGTTGCCAGTGAACTACCAGTACAGAGACCAAATTCATTATGTTTTAGAACTTGCTTTTCTAAATTGAGATCTTTATTTGCATGTTTGTAAACCGTATTGCTTGTGGATTCCACTTTGTATCCATGGACTCAGACTATATTCTCAATATATATCTCACTAGCCTTTCAGACCAATCTATCTACACTAGAAGCTTCTTTTACTTTCTTTTGAACCATGTGTTCCTTTCCACAGAATAAAAGTTTGAGGTAAATCCCTGAAAAGTTTTCCATACGTTAAAAAAAGGGGGGGATTTCACTAAGATTTGGACTGCAAAATGTGAAAAAACCACTAGATGGCAGTAAAACACACAAAAATTTCTGTCTTTTTGCCGCCCTCTAATGGTCTGTAAGATCCACTTTTCATAGACAAATGTTCTTGAATGCTGGACTGGTAGCTACACCTTGCAAAATCCTCCTATTTGACTAATATTAAAGTTATAGGAACTAATTTGTTAGAATATATTATAGGTTTTTTTGGCTATTGCATGCTGCTTTTTATAAATTAAACTATCATTTGGGGGGGCAGAGAAGTAATAAACATCTATACACCTCCTAAAGTCACTTTGTGGAGATATGCAAATATATAACTCGTCTAAATAAACAAAGATGCTGCATCTTTGCTATCGTTTAGTAGGATGCAGATTTTTGTAGCCCAGACCAATTTCTTCAGTGAGATCTATAATAAATCCAAGGGTACAGATGTATATATGGGAATATGGGATTATGTAACCAAACATTTGCCCATCAAGAAAAAGCAGTACTTTATTAGTCACTAGCAATGAAGTATATGTGTTATTTGGATTGACAGCCTAGTCATGTTTAGACAAACTGTAAAATATTTAGTATGGCAGTGTTAAAAATATAAAGCAACTTACCTGCAAATGCTGAGCATTGTCTGTCAAATTGTCTTCACGCCTCCGAACTTCTTCTAGCAACTGGGCATTCTTCTTCTTTTCTATTTGTTGATTGTGCTTCAGATTGGCCACCTTCTTGTTTTGATCCTTCATGTGTCTAAGAATAGTATGCATATACTTGTTAATTCTATTGAGCCTATTAACAATGTAAGAGAGCAAATGTATAAACAACAGTATAAAGCTTATCATTGGGCAGGGCTGCTCATTACACATTTTAAAGTAGGAAGTCTATGAAAAGTCAGTGTGCTTCATGTGAAATACTGAACTGTTACTGCAGATTAGATGTGCATGAAGCAATTTTTAAGATAGAAATATGTCATAGTTTAGATGTGCTTAATTTTAGACATGAAAACTTCAAGTTCCCAATCTCTATTTTCAGGGCCAAAATTTAAAACAAGGATCATAACATTTCATTACTGGTGCAAATTAAGGGTTCTCAACTTTACAACTCTACTATTTTTTGATTGTCTGTCTGAACGGAAATGGCTAGGTTGTGAACCTGGTATTCTCAGAAGGCTTGGTTTCTCCTTTTAAAGTCTCTGGGTAAATTAAAGCATGCATTCAGAAATAGTTTTCCATGCCAAGAGTTTATTCTAAAAATCAGTTCCAACCTAAATTGATTCAAAAATACATCCCAAACATTAATTTCAGAAACAAAATTAGTCCATCAGAACTTAAAATCATATCTGTGCATCCAGAACAGCCCACATATGACCAATTAAACCTTCTCAACGATGATAAGCAATTATATGGCATTATTTTAGGACTAATTACTATAAAAGGCTGTGGAAGAAATGTGAGAATATAACTGTTATCTGCTTGAGTTCTTAGATATTAATTTATTTGACTCTCTCACGATTCTGAGGAATTTCTTTCTTTTTATCTATATAATAATAGTCATGTGCAAATTCCAAAAGAGATTTGCACACTAATCTTTTTTGGCAAAAGGAAAGGATATTTTCTAATGTCCATATGATCACGCAAAGTTTTTAAAGGGTTTGGTGAGGTGGAGGCATTATGTATGATTGTAGGTTTTATTTTTAAATATTTTATTTTCTTGTGAATATTTAGTAAGTAAAAATGCTATATCTTTAGGTATTTATTGCAAAATAATAGTATAAATTATACTGGTAGTAGGAAAAGCAAATGCTATTTTCAAAAGAAAGCTCCCCAATGGTTTTGGGCTTAAAAAAAAAAAAGCAAGAACAATCCTGTAAAACAAATATTAATTTTCCAATCTACAATCAGTTGTAACTGATATGATGAAATATGGCTCACACAGTTATAATGTAGAAAAGAATATAATGTTTTCTATATTCAGTGAAAAAATAGAGGAAATGGAAAGAAGATCCAAAAACATTTTGTATGATTTGCACAATAACAATATTAATTCTTTTTAGAGTGTTTTTTTAAAGGAAGGCTCCTCCTTTTATTATTCCTGTTTTACTGCAGCAATCACTGAAGTAAAGCTGTTCAGTTGAGTTATAATTTAAGTGTTTTAACCATTTTGTGACATTGTTCTCCAAATTATTCTAAAAAGAGTTCCCACTGAATGCTTCTCTTAAAAACTTAATATTTATATTATTCAGAAAACCTATTAGTCTCAGCTAATGGCATGCTTTCATCGATGGACTAGATTGATTGATTATGTGCCATCAAGTCAGAGCAATCACACAGATAGATTGCTCTCCAAGGCAATCTTACCCCAACCTGGTCCTTTAGGTCTTCCAATGAGGCACCCAATAGGAAGAGTTATTTTACCAATTTATTTTTCCCTGACTCTCCCAAAATGCTACTCTGACTTTCCTGAAATAGAAACCTCAACTAGATCTTACAGGGAGAGAGTTCTTTACATTCTGACACCATGGAACTGATATTATCCTTAAAGTGTAAACATTCTCTCAATACTGATTAGACAGAGCGATAACATGCAGGTACAATTTGTTGTAAGAAGATACTATTTAAATAAGTAAGTAAGTAAGTAAGTAAATATATATGCTGCTCAACTTACAAAGATACAAAACTGTTTAATCATTTAAAGTAACTTCATTAAATCATATATTTTTATTGTTCTTTTTTTATGGATTCACCACCTATAAAAGTCTAAATCGTATACCGTGTGATGACTTCCCTGGTTGCTTCCCCAGATGTTTCTCTGTATGCTAGTTTTGCAAGGGAGAGTTGGATTCAGGGACAATGGGGAGGGGACATGGAGAAACATACAGAGGTTGCTGGAGGCTCTGAACCAGGAATGGCGAGGAAAAGCACAGCAGAGCATTCACAGCAGAAGTGAATGGACAAGCAGCCAGTTGAGCTAGGGACAGGAGACGCACAGCTGCAGCTGGGAAGCCAGAGGCTTCAGGAGGAGGGGGCCCACAGCTGCAGCTGACCACTGGAGATGAGGAAGAACTTCAGGATTCTGAACCTTGAACTTTGGATCACACCCCTTGAACTCTGGATTTGCCTTTGCCTTGTGAATTTGCCTTTGCCTTGAGGACTTGCCTTTGCCCTGTGGACTGTCATGGGGTTTTCCTTGAATAGCCCATTGAATCCTTGGAGGGGGTTGCTGATGTGGGCATGAGAAATTTCTCAGGAAGACTATTCAGGGCTTGGATGCCTCAATAAAGACTTCTAACACCTGTGGCATGCCTGTGTGTGACACAGGACACACAACTTCAGATATTTTGCTTAGTATTTATCACGAGAATAGCTATATATTTATACTCATGGACTCATAAGTCAAGATCTGTATATTTTATTGATTAGCTGAAATGTGAAGTATTCAGGATCATGCAGCAGAGTAACAGATTTGGCAGGTCACATGTACCTGTGACAGCTTATAAGCAATGGATTCTGTTCACTATATTCCACCACAGCATGCAGTAGTCTAGAATGCAGATAGCCCAAGTTTGGGAATGTCTTCAGTACAAAATTTCTAGATGTGAGTCATTAAGCTAGAGTGACTAATGCATTGTCCAAAACTGTTAGAAGAATCTTAGTGCTTTATCTAACACTTCGTGTATTCTGTTCCAAGAGGTAGAAATATGAAAACTCTAAATATAGAACTGACATATTGAAGAAAAGCTGACAATTATGATAATATAACAGGATTGAGGTCTGCTCCTGATATCCTTGTGTAAACCTGTCAATGATGCCTGTCTTCCCATCTGATGATCCACCAAAAACTATAGTGACATGGAGCTATTTTTTCCCCTACAAGTATGATTATATCAGCTATGTAGTAAATTATTTTATTTATTTTTAATAAACATTATTATTAAAACAACCATAGAATTTCCATTACTATTGAATATCTGCTGTTGCTCCTTGTAAAAATATTCAAGTTTATAAAGTGCACTGGTGTTGAAGAAATCCATCATGGCATATAACAGGCATGTCAAACTCGCAACGTCACGTGACGTCGCACGACCTATTGTGACTTTTTCCCCATTGCCAGCAGTGGGGTGGGCGCAATTTTGGCATGACACATCTGGCCCGTGGGCCGGCAGTGTGACATGCCTGGCATATAAAGTAGAACCAGCTTTAACTTTTTAAATAGGGAGATAAATGTTTGTACACAAAAGGCAAGAACTAACATTATCTATTTTTCTTAGATATCAAAAGGCTTTCCAGAGCATGTGGATAATGAACATAGTAGTTCCAAAGGGAATGTCTTCTACTTATTATAACCCTAACTTGTTTGTAACATAGCAACAGAAGGAAGGGAAAATAGGAGACCAAGTGGTCCTTCCTCTACTCTGCATCTTAAAGGAACAATTTGATGGATGAGGAAGATGTACCCAACATGTTGAACAATCACATTATACTAAATTTTAACAAATGTCTTTGTTTCCAAGAATTTACAAATATATTGAATCTTTCCCTTCCCTACCAACAATAGATACTGACATAAGATTACTGAAATAAATGCAACTTAAGCAAAATTATTTAACCTATTTCAATATAACACTTGGGAAAAAAGTTAATTTTTAAATCCCAAACATTTCTTTGTTTGTTAGCTTTATTCCGTGTTTATATATTCTGTCTATTTAAGTTTCCCTCTTTCTTTCACTCTTAGCATTTTTAAACTTAGTTATAACCTTCAGCTAATGAATACCATTTTGTCTTTATTTGACTCTATCTTTGATCTTTCATAAATTGAATGCTTCGATGCAATGAAGTGCTTTGAAACAACAGTAGAGGAGCCACATTCATTGCTCCCAAAGTACAATGGAGCTCTGACATGTAATCTTGTTTGACAATGCTGTGTGCAGTAGTACTGGAACAGGATACATTAAATCTTAACAGTTTGCTCAGAAAGAAATCGCTTTGGGACGGTGGGTTTCAGAAAAGGAAATAATGGGGAAATCACATAGCACTCTTGTGATTGTTTTAGATTCATAGTCCTGTTTCCCAGAAAGATAGCTTATTATACTTCTTAGTTCTTTATCCATTTTAGTAACTCTTGTTTTCTTTGCAATTATGCTGTAACTTCTCCCTTCCTGTGAAAACAGCATTCTTAGAGCATCACTTCATCCATATCAGGTTCACTGATAGTTTAACAAATTGCTGCCCAGGATATCTTAGAAAAGATAGGCCCATTGTATGTTCTGGTGGCCTGCCTACTGAATAGCAATTGCATCTTGATGACTTCCATTTATATTATAGCAAGATGCTGCCCTTCTGATTAAGGGAGAGTCATCAGAGAACCTTCTCAATTAAGGCCAATCAAGCTGAGCAGAGAAGCAGCATGAACAGGATCAATATTGGATAATAGCTAGCTATACACTGCCTGTTCTATATTATAGAAATTAGACCCTTATTCCATAATAGACATTTATGGAGTTAATGAGCATGGCTGCCTATTTATTTTCTATTTAGGTCCATGGGGAAGCACTGTGTATTTCTATGACCCAAAGTTACTTCACATTAGGGAATGGAGGAAAGTGATTTCTGAAACCTCCAGAGGAGATTTTGAGAGCTGCAGGAAGCTCATGTGGAAGACTTACAGAAATGGATCTTCCCCAATCTAGTTCTGGTTGATACATGGTGCATGGGTATCATAATGAATGAATTTGCTATATTCTCCAAGTGGAT